AAAAATAAAATTAATTTATCAACTAATATATTTATATTTCAATTAGTTATATGATACAAGTTATAAAAACTAATATTATATAACACATGTAAGTCATAAGTAACACATATCATTCTAAAATATATAGTAATATATTTTTTTTAAAACAAAGTAACCTAAATTTAATATAGTTTTCTCATTAATTTTAAAATTTAAAAATAATTTTTTAACAAGCACCCGTGTAATACACGGGTATTGTATTAGTTTTATTGTATAATCATGTATTTTACTCAGTCCATGGCTCTACCGAGTCGACCCAATATAACCTTATATGACAATTTAGGTCCTTTGATATACCATCTCACTTATTTAGGTATCAGGCCACGTAGGTCAAATGTCGATAACTCGACCCAACGCCCCTGTGAGTGTGACGTCTAATTTGGCCTACTCGACCTGATCGACCAACTCGAGCGAAGTTGAGCTGAAGGAGCTTGGGTATGGAACCAAGCTATTTAAGAGCTCAAGTCTAAGATCGAAATCTCTATGATATATCAAATACAATATATATGTTTATTAAAAACAACATGACATGTTGGATTGTTTGATCATTAACACCTCCATAGCATAATTTGTAATTTATGGCAATAATTTTTATTTATTTTCAATAGACATGTCCAACTTACGGTTTTTTGTAGGTTATGGTGTTGTATTGACACAACTAAAATACACGAGATTCATTGTGTTGTGCGGCACCCAGGGTCGAGGTGCGTAGGTAGGGTCGAGTTACCCAAGCGCCTTTTCCAACAAGGTCGACCTCTTTGGATTCAATCGTGCCTCTAATGCGACAGTTGAATTCAACTTCTATCAGCGAACTTTATATTGTGATTAGACGTAGTCAAACACTGATTTTTGAGTTGGGGTTTGGAAGGTCCTGAACCAACCCTACCATGGGGTCGGTTAAGTAAACCGTCGGTTCTGGTCGCTCTTGTTTATTAAAAATAAAAATAAAAAATAAAGTAAAAAACTTCAAAGTCGAACTGTCGGATTCAATTCGAAAATTGTAAATGCTTGAATCAAAACCGGCTCGGGTAAAACCGTTGGTTGGTTCAAGGCTTGTGGTCAACAGACTAATTCCTAGTCGGTTCAACGCTCGTGGTCAACAGACCGGTTCGGATCGAATCGGCGAATTGGTTCGGCCCATGTTCATGTCCCGTTGTGATGGATAATCTAATATTTGATGATTACAATTTAATGAGTGAGACCTTGAGCGTCATAAAGAGTCGACTCATTTAACAATTAGATGAATTATAAAAAAATTATGATACTTTTTTTTTTTTTCGAAACGATAGATTTTATAACAAAAAAACACGATTACATCTAGACATCAGCTAGAATAAGCCCAACAGCTATCAAGCCGAATCTAGGAGGAGTACACACATGAGTGCATCCTGAACAAAGTCAACCTAAAACTCACAACAACCCCCACAAAAGAGAATAAAACTACTACACAGAAGACTCAAAACTCCTACCAAGGAGACTAAAACTTCTACAAAGAAGACTAAAACTTCTACAAAGAAGACTCAAAGCTCCTACAAGGAGAATAGAACTGACACAATAACCTAACCTAAAACAACACAACACAAAAGGAAAATACAATACTAGAATAAACCCTTCCTCCAACCGGCAACTAACTGCGAAGCCACAGACACAACACCCAGGGATAAACGGCCACACGAATAGGAACCCAGTCCAAATATAGCTCTAAAAACTCCAGAGGTGGCTAACCCGGCCAGTTGAAACCACACCTCGACCAAATTCTCTACCCAGGCGGACCACCCCGTTCCAGCAACCGGAGCCAGCTTCTCCACTTCCCTCGCAACATCCAGGACTGCAACCACCAACACCTCCCAAAGCCCAGCAGCCCAACCCTATCCGACTTCCAAGCCCATGGAAGAACAGAAAACAAGGGAGAAGAAGACTAACCTCGACCCCGACGAACTCAAAAGAGCCGCCTGGAGCCAGCCACCCGACGCCACGAGAGACCCGCCTGAAGCCCACCGGACATAGTCGACCGACGCGGCGGCGAAGCACTACACCGGGGAGGGGCAGACGAGCTGTGGGCGATGAGCGACTCGGACTGGAGACGGTTGTCGCCGTGGCGTCGCGGAGAGCCCGGAAGGAGGGAGGCGGCGGCGATCTGAAATTAGGTTTCTACTGTTCTGAGTTTTGGGGGAATTCGCAAAGGTGAAATTAAAAAAAAAAAATAGATATTATGATACTCGATGTGTCATATTTAATAGACAATTTAAATACAAAACGAAGTACTCAAGGTATGGATACATTTTTTTTTTTTTTGTAAAATAATAAAAATTAAAAAATGTAAGTAGACAACCACTCGTTATTTTAGTCTACTGAATTTCATAAAAAAATTAAGTCTAAAAGTGAGCTTGGTGGTTCAATTTCATATATGTAATTTATATTAAATTTTTAGAATTCAAAAAAAATCTCAATAATAAATAAACTAAATATTCCATAATTTTTAAATATATTTTTAAAAATTATATACAATTTGTTTTTTTTTTTAAAAATATTCACCAAAAAAATCAAAATTTAATATAACAAGGTTCTTAAAACTTAATTATTACAAATCGTCCCCGAATAAACCTTTTTTTATTCGGAAAATTCTACTTAAATCCCTTACCCCTTTTTGAACTTCCAAATCAGTCCCCCCTTAAATTATTTTCCTCTGCACTTCCCACTCCTAATTTTGTTCTTCCACTTCACTCCCCTTATATAAAGAAAGGTTTTTATTATTCATTTATTTTGCCATTTTATTCATAAAGTAAACTTTCTCTTTCTCTCCTCGGTTTTTCTCACTTTTTGTCGCCGCTCTCTTCTCTCTCTCTGCTCGTTTTTTCGCCACCGGTCTCTTCTCTCTTTCTGTTCGTTTTTTCATCGACATCGCCATCGCCACCTCTGCGCTCTCTCTCTCTGTTCGTTCATCACCATCGCCCGCCATCTTCGTCTCTCTCTTTCTCCGTCACTTCGCCATCTCTGTGAAGAAATGGCCGGCTCCAAAAAGAAGTCTCTATGCAAACCGTCCTCCTCGACACCCACGAAGGCATTACCAAGCTCAAAGGTAAATTCAGATTTTTGAGGTTTGTTTATAATATTAGAGTTTTTATTTTTTTTTTTCAATTTAGGAGTTGAATTTGAAAATTAGGGTTTTTTTCAATTTAAGGCTTGAATTCGAAATTAGGGTCTTTGTGTTTAATTGAATT